TCCGTATTATCAAGATCCGGGATAGCCGTGCTTGAGCGTAGGGTAAACTGATAACTAATATCTGGTCCAAACTCCCCCTGTTTCTAAGACTGCTCTCAGGGCCGGCCAAGTAGGGAAGCCAGCCGAGGAATACTACCTAAAGAGCAGAAAAATGCCTTTTCCGATACATGATATCTCTTGCCATATAATTTTTGGGACTTTTTTCTTGGGTGTGTATTTGGGAACCTCTCAACTGATTAAGCATTTTGGAAAAAAAAGAGAAAAAAAGAAGACAGTAACTGAAATGGTTCTTGTAATTCGTACATGTCGCAGTTGCAGTCAGTTTGGCTTGATGGTATCAGTGGTGGCAGGTCATGTTGGAATCACGGAGGAAATAAATATACATTTGACTTCGTGAGGTGTGCATAGCCGAGGGTGCATGACTAATGTGAGACAGGTTTCATGAACACTTCTGTAGAATGGCTGTGGTACTGTTTGAGGTATCATAGCTAAATACCACTACTATTGCCAGGAGGACTACCAGTACTCGAGTAGGGTAGCTAGCCTATCGCATTATCCAGGGAACAACAGATTTTACTCAGCCTTTTGGCCAATGGATACTTGGGCTAGGTGGCGACCTCGGGCCTGGTCCAGCAAACTTAGGCGCTTCTAGAAATTTACTGAATAGGGCCCAATTGCGAAATCCCACTGGCCTACATGTGTTCACGGTGACTACCGCAAATTCTCCGGAATGGGTATGGATTCTTCCCAAATATCATAAGCGATTGTACCACCTGGTGTTCCTAGGAAAAAAAATCTTTAGGCCAAAACGATCGTTCGACCAATAATTCCGAGGGAAGCACCCCGGCAACTGCAAGTAACCCCCTGGCCTAGAGGGCCGTGTTTACTGGCGATCGGGGGATCCGGCCGGGGGGTGCTTTGGCTTCTCACTAGTTGGAGTATGGGTTATCTAAATCGGGCATCTAGCGGGAAAAAGGTTTGCTATAGGAAGAATGAGCATCACCACCCTGCTGGCGGACTACTGCCTACCAGCGCCATGCTAGTGGCTTAAGTTTCCCTTGTATTCTGCAAAGGAGCTCTTTTGCTCGTGAGTGATATCCGGGGGTTGCGAACTTTATAATCGGTAGTTGTGTATGTACTCTACTGCCTGTTTTCAAGAGTATCCGGATGCCTTTGCCAGAACCGACTACAAGCGAATGCTCCAGGAACGATATTAAACTATTAACCATCCATGAGATTTATTCTCCCCCATTCTGGCTAATAAATTGAGCTAGGGTGTTGGGTAGATCAGCTACTTCTCCGACCATTTGCAGGACAGAGGGGACTTGACTAGTGGTCAATGCGGGAAGCCTTAGCTAGGCTACTCCTGATACCTTGGCGCCAAGGCATCCGGATACTTTTGAAAAAGGGCAGTAGTCAGTTCGAGGGACCGATTGAAAGTGGTGGAAGTACCTACTCTATCACCCGTGTTATCTAAAAACGTTTAGAGTGAAAGTCGTGTAGTAAGTGATGGGATGGAAATTAAATGGAACCGGAATGATAAGAGGTGGATGGGTGGATCGAGCTAGAATACTGGGAGGAAATTCTCTTTAGAACAGAATCACCGTGATAGAGTACAGTACCCGCATCGAACCGGGGAGGGATATTTGCGCCTTAGGCCCTCTGAATTCAAAAATTAAATGTCAAGGTATGATATCAAGCAAAACTTAACAGGCTTCCGCAGGAAGAACGCACAACGCGTAACCTGCAATACCGTATGCAGGAAGCAAAAGTGAATGCTATGTCCTCTTTTCTCGTGAGCGGCGCGGTGCCCCGGGTGACCAAAACTTCAAACTGAGTTTCGGTGATAGCAGACTGTAAGCTGGTCAGTACTACCGTAGCTGGTTGGTTTGCGAGTGCAGCTGCCGGAGCAATTATGATACAGTACTGTACAGGGATCTGTGTCTCAGGATAGTTTTCGTAGCCTACGGTTGGTCAGCTCGCCTGTGCCTCGCTTATATTTCAGGCTCATGCATATGTTCCAATAACCTACTCAGGAGAAAAAGTGCAATTCAGTTTCCTGAGCCAGAGTCAAATACTACCATCTCCCCCCCTCCTTTCCTCTACCAAATTTTGCGTGTATCCTCTACGGCTTTTGCACTTTTAGCTCACCACAATAACTTACTGTTACACTTGAAAAAATGTAAGTCCCGATTTGCCCCCCTTTCAACACTTAGGCGGCATAGGCAGGGGTCAGGTCTAAGAGACCGACAAACAATTAGGCTGCCGCGCACCTTTTCGCTGGTTGATTACGATGAACGTGGAAAACCTACTTAACTTACCCTCAGGACTCGGCCGCCTCCCACTCTATCCAGTCGGGGATTGCTAGCATTCAGTCCTAGGCTCATGGAATGGTACCCACGGCGATCCAGGGACCTCCAATGACGTAAGCGAGGTGAACTTAGAAGGCATCCCGACCGCTCCGGTGGACACTCGGAGGAGCTCTTGTCCCTCCTTGCCTCCCCTTTTCTGTCAGTACCACAAGTGCACTGGCAACAGGTCACCAATCCCCATTTACCTTGATCCATACTCCCATCATACCTAATTCATGACACTGACATGTGCTGCTCCATTCCCGCTGCGGCCCTCACACTCGTTCCCCGGGAGGATTTACTTGCGAGGCCCCAGGCTGCGCCTTTCCCGGAAGTTTCCCGACAAAGCAAGCCCTCAACAAACACTACCTCGCAAAGCATGGCGACAATCGTGTGGATTGCCCGGTGGAAGGATGCGTGCGTGTCAGTGTTCGCGGAATTAAACCAGCGGATAATCTTGCAGCCCACTTGTCCAACAAGCACGGTATTTCTGACGGTAGGGCGGCGTATGGGAATTAGGTTCGCCGGTAGTAGGACTGTTGGTATCATCGATGTCTTTGTCTAGCGTTTGCTGGGGAGAACGGAATTGTCTTTCTTTGATAATATCCCCTCTCTTCAGCAGCCATTTCCTATTTCCTATTTATTCCACACTTGATTCTCCGTTCATCCCCACCTCCAATCCCGGTATGCCTTCATCTTTTTGTTACCTCATATCTTGTAGCCTCCGTCGTCTGTCGGTTTGAGGTAGATTATACGCCTATTCCCTTTTTTCTTCTATACGTTACGCCCTCTCCCACCCCCCCAAAAATTACCATGCCCGGCTCTCCCTTTCCTTTGCCCCTCCCTTCATTTCTTCTATGCATCTAGCCATAGCCGTACACCATGCAATAAAGTTTCTCCTTTCACAAACTGAGCCCGCGTATTGATGCTCGTTGTCGCTAAAGATTGAGGTAGCTGTTTCCCTGGCATACCTCAAGTTGGTTTCCATTGACGCTCGCATAATTCGTCGCGCCGGTGCAAAATCATCACATTTTCTCTAGCGCCCCACTCATTTCTGATGCTCTTGCTTAATGAAATTACTATAGAACTTGAGGATTGGGTCAATACCGACCTAAGAGAATGTCTCCCTGGTGGTAGGCGGATCGAGATTCCGCTTACCTTACATAATTGTACGGGAAACGCGATATGTTAGCGGTAATATAGCGACCGACTATCGTGTAGTGCATATCCGGTGGGAGGATAGGAAACCGGCCCGAAGGCTCGTTAAATATAAATTTACTAGTACTCTGCTCGGAGGTTCCAGAAAAAAATAGGCGGATTATTTGTACTGATCATTGACAAGGATCCATGAGGACAAGGGTCTTGTTTTCCTATAGGTACCGTCATGCCCAAGCGCAGTAGAACGGGAACCTAAAGTACTGGTAACTATCTTTCGATCTCCCTGGTCACGGGAGCTAGGCCCGTCATGCGCCTCTCCGGGACTTTCCTATATCTGAATCAATCCCCTAACCCCTCGCGGGGTGCGTTAGCTTTGCCTACCGGTATGTGAACACCACGAGCAGAGTGTCTGTCCAACATCACCATTAGAGAATCTGAACCTAAGAGCCAATAGGAATAGTACCATACTGTACACAAAAATGATATATTAATATGGACATTCGGGATACCCCAAGATGTTGGGGTAGTGGCGTGAGAAATCTGAAAAAAATAACCCCCGCCACCATCCCCGCGACCGGTCCATCCGTCCGCTAGGATAATTTTTTTTTGGCTAGAACCTTCCGTTGACATCTCTAGGCGCATAAAAAGGAGACAAAAAAGAGGCTTTTGCCTTTGTCACTCACGCTTGGCCCCCCCCCCCCCGGAGCCTCTCCAAGCCTCATTCCCGCTGGACAGGAGGAGGTACTGTACCGTACGTGGGAGGCTGGAATTTGTGGATTTGATCAGTTGATACTGTTGCTCGCTTGAATTACGTGCATTCCCACTCAACCTTCCTGTACCGGCCCCGTAGCGTTATGCAAGGCTTCGGAAAATCCCCTTATCGTTATCGTTTGCAGTGAGTAAGACTTTGTGTAACGAAATAGGATTGGGACCATTGGGTAATGCAGCTGTAGTGTGGGGGCCCGGAGGCTAGGAGGGACAGTGGTACAAGTAATGGGGGACGGGTTTTGTGAAGTTAACCTCGCTCGCAGCACTCTCAATACCCTTGCTCGAATGGTTCATATCACGAATTGTTTTTTTTTCTCCAGCGATTTAGCCAATACCGGTAGTAGGATAAGCAAACTACCAAAAAGAGCACCATATAGCAATGCGTTGGTAGCGCCCAGGCTTATTTTTGCCGCCGATGATTCGCCGTAGTTGTCAAAGGCTCAGGCTTATGCATATGTCACATTGCGATGTCTGGGTACGGGGTTGGAAGAAAGTGCAATTCACTTCACTCTAAAAACTCATAAGGGACCATTCCCCCCCTCCCCACCCACTGCCAAATTTTGGGCGTTGAACGCTGGTTATTGCACTTTTAGCTGCTTACATAACCAACCGTTACACGGAAAAGATGTAGGTTTCTGGGTTCTTTTTTTTTTCTAACACACCTAGGTCGTTTTCATCTGATCCACCCAGCTCATCCCCCACCGATCGTCCTCTTATCGATCCCAACGAACCAGCCGGCCCGCTCGGGTTACACCCGCGACTGTGCCATCTGCCGCTGTATCCAGAAAGGGATGGATGGTATTCTGTTCTTGGTCAATCGATTGGCACTAGTGATAATCCCGAGACTGTCCATGCGGTAAAGGAAGCAAACCCAGAAAATAACGTCACTATCGGGGGTGCCCCCGTGAACCCTTCAAGGGATGCCCGCCTCGATCTCCAGCGCATTTTCTGCCAATACTACAAGTGCTCTGGCGCAAGGTTAGCAATCTCTCTTTATCATACACTCTACTCCCATCCAATAAATGGCACTAACAAGTATGGCCCCGGTCCTGCAGCGGTCCTCACACTTGCGCCCCAGGCAGATTTACCTGCGAGGTTCCGAATTGTTCATGGTCTAGGACCTTCAAGACGAAGCAAGCCTTCAACCGTCACTACCACGCAATGCAAGGCAATGACCGTGTGGATTGTCCGGTCGAAGGGTGTGAGAACGTTGGAGCTCGCGGGATTGAGCGGGCGGATAATCTCCTTGCTCACTTGTTGAACAAGCATGGTATTTCCAATTCTAGGCCACCGTATGGGAATTAGGTCCGGTGGTGGTAGGAAAATTGGTATCACTTGGTGCTGTAACCGCCTGATGTGTTAGTCCCAAGTCTGAGATATCCTCTCTCCCACAATGGCATTTGTGCCCCCTTGGCCTTATCCTATTTCCTGTCTGGTCTCTCCATTCTGCGCTCATACACCGCTCAATATGTCTTCTCATCTTTTCTCATCTTATATCTTTTAGCCCCCAACATTTGTCTGTTTTGTCATCCGACCGTGCACCCGTCTTTTTTTCTTCTTTCCTCACTCACTCTGCCCGTCCCCCATCTATGCCCGAACCGCAATCCCCGGCTCTTGTTCTCCTTGATCCTCCTTTCGTCCCCTGTGTGCACCTAGTCATAGGCGTAGTATACAATTAAAACAGCTCTTTTCGCAAATTTACATACGTATCCATGCCCCCGATCGTAACGGGTCGACAACAGCCATCTGGAATATTTCCAATTTATACTGTTGGTATTAATAGCTATAGAGTTCGCTATGTCTGCGCTGAATGAATATCTCCCCTCTTCCACTTTATGGATTTCGAATGGCATGCCCGGAGAACCTACTCCCTAGGTCATTGGAGCTCCGGGACTGGTGGGCTGCTCGTGATACCTCCATGGACGACGATCGCACACCAGGTTCCTCCATAAACTCCACTAAACACAGATAAGAAAATGTGAAGTTGGTGGTAGAGGATACCAACCACCCTACATGCGGGAAACGGGTTATTCTAGCGGGGATATGGTAACAGGGTGCAGTGCCTCGTGGCGCAGGCCTTGTCCCATATATTGTAAGGGACTGGCCCGGGATAAGAGTGATACTAATCGAAAGCTGATGAAACCTGATAAACAGGCTTAGCTAGAGTTCTATTTATACTGTATACTCCTTTGCTTGCCCCACATAGTAAACCAAAGGGCTAATAAACGTATAATTATCAAAGTATATATTGCCTACCCGGGCCTTATAACTAGCGAGTAGATTCATAACCCGGCGAATCCACAATAATTTATGTGACAAGAACTAAAAAATAGGGCTACAAAAATGTGTGGGATAATGAGAGTTTTATATTGCGGTGACTCGCACCAAAAAATTCTCGCTGTTCTTCACTATCAATCACCGCGAGGAGTATGAGGCCTAGATTATGAGCCCGCTAGCGCATCACACTATACGATCCAATACGATGTCTAATACAATACGAAACTGCGATGTGGAAAAAACCCCACCACTTCCGATTCCTTTCCACGGACGGTATTCTTCGCACCTACCCCGAACTAGGAAATTCCGGGAAAAGCAGATTATCATAACCAGGTAGCCAGTGTCTTTTCTCCAAGCACACCAGCTTCGAGCTTCAAAAGCACAGTCTTACATCAGCAATGAACCTCCGCCAAGCCCAATCCACTCTTATTATACTGTTTACCCGTATAAACCAGACCGGCACCGTACAAGAACTCCGGATCCAAACCCCTCCACGAATGCTCAATGCTTTCAACCCCCTTTCAATTCTAGCGACTCCCTCATCAAAGAAATCCGAATACACACCTATCTTCTAATTCTCTCCCGCTCCATTCCTTGGCCAAATCATGGGTATTGCCATCCGTTTTTATCCAAACACTACCCTCAGCATAGGTTTCTTTCCCCCCCTTTCTTTCCCTATAAGATGTAGTATCTGTAGCACTAACACCTGCGGGCGCGGAGAGAGCTGAGCATAGACTGGAGCTAGATAAAAAGTAGTTGAAGTTGTATAGTTCGAGGAGCCTAAGTTGCACTGCCATTTCTGGTGAGGCTGCGCCCGCCCTGCTGTCCAAGGAACAACGGATTTTATTCAGCTCTTTGTCAAGTGATACTTGAGCCAGCCCACCACCCCGGACGATTCTCGAGCCGGGCTGAGAAAACCCAACCTCTTTCAGAAATTTGCAATATGGGACCCGATTGCGAAATTTCACAGGCATATGTGTGGTTACTTTGCCAATTATAAAGTGTTTGGAGGCTTGGCGCCTAGAGAGGTTCTAATAGCACCAAGGTGTTCGAATACTTTATAATAGCCAAGTAATCAGCCATGGCCACTTCAAATTCACTGGAATCAGTATGTATTCGGCCCCTGTAGATTTATTGGTGATCGGGGGGCCCAATGGAGTGACACTTTGGCTTCTTGGTGATTAGAGTATGGATTACAGAGACCTGGCATCGGTAGTTGTGTATGTGGTCAGTTTGAGGCGTCGATTGAAAGTGGCGGAAGTGCATGCTCTAGCACCCAAGTCATCTGAAAGCGTTGAGAGTGAAAGTCATGTAGTAAGTAATGGGGTGGAGATTGGGTGAAGCCGGAATGGTGAAAGGTGGGTTGGTGGCTCGATATAGAATACCCGGAGGCAATTCTCTTTGTAAACGAATCTGCGTGATAGAGTACAATACTTGCACCGAACCGGAGAGTGATGTTCACACCTTTGGCCCTGCGAATTCAACAATCAAACTCTAAGGTAACAAGCAAACTAAACATTGGTCGGCAGGAAGAAAGAACAACACACAACCTACAGTACAGTATGCCGGAAGCAGAAATTAAGGGCACATGTCCTCTTTCCTCTCCCTTGAGCATCGTGACCCCCTGGATGACAACACCTCAAACTCAGCTTCGGCGATAGCGGACGGTAAGCAGGTGGGCACCAGCTGGTTGGTTACGAGTGCAGATGCAGGAGCAAGTACCGTACTGTACTTGTACGAGTGGGGCACAATAATGTACAGGGTTCCAGGTCTCAGGATAGTTTTTGTAGACTACAGTTGGTCAGCTCGTCTGTGCCTCGCATATATTTTAGGTTCATGCATATGTTCGAATAACCTACGCATGGGGAAAAGAGCAATTCAATTTCTTGAGTTGAAGTCAAATACTACCGCTTCCCCCCATCCTTTCTTCCACCAAATTTTGCGCGCGTTGCTATCCAGCTTTTGCACTTTTAGCTCTTCACAATAACTTACGGTGATACGGAAAAGATGTGAGTCTCGATTTGCTTTTTTTTTTAACATTTTAGGGTGCATATGCAAGCGCAGGTAGACTATAATGGAGCAACAAACCAACCAAGAATTAACCACCAACCCACCTTTTCACTAGTTGATTATGACGAACGTGGAAACCCCCTCGACCTGCACCCAGGACTCAGCGATCTCCCACTCTATCCAGCCGGGGATGGCTGGTATTCAGTCCTTGGCTCATGGAATGGTACCCACCACTATCTAGAGACCGCGAATGGGGTAAACGGGGTGGGCGCCGGGGACAACACAGATATCCCGGGCTCTCAAGTGGCCACTCCGAGGAACTCTTGTCCCTCCCTCCAGCGCAAATTGTGTCAATACCACAAGTGCTCCGGCAATAGGTTAAAAATTCCCCTCTATATTACACTCTACCCACACCTAATTCACGACACTAACATTTCCTGTGCCATTCCCGCAGCGGCCCTCACACCTGTTCCCCGGGAAGATTTACTTGCGAAGTCCCAGATTGCGCCTTTCCCGGAAGCTTTAAGACAAAGCAAGCTCTCAATAAACACTACCTCGCGAAGCACGGCAATGACCGTGTGGATTGCCCGGTTGAAGGATGCGTGCACGTCGGCGGTCGCGGGATTAAGCGTGCGGATAATCTTCCGGCTCACTTGTTGAATAAGCACGGTATTTCTGATGCTAGGGAGGCGTATGGGAATTAGGTTTGCCGGTAGCGGGATCATTGGCGCCACCCAGGGCTGCTATTGCCTAGCATCTGCCCGGGAATAGAATTGCCTTTCGCTCATAATCTCCTTTGTATCCGCTAGTCATTTCTTATTTCCTATTTTTTCTACCTTTGATTCCGGGTTCATACCCTGCTCAATCACAGTATTCGTTCGTCTCTCTATCGCCCAATATCTTGCAACTTCCAACATCTGTCAGTTTGCGGCAGATCGCACGCCCACTTTGTGTTTTCCCCTCTTCGTTACTCGCTTTTCTTTTTCCTTATCATCCAAAAATCACTACGCTCGTCCCCCCCTTCTCTTTGCTCCCCTCTCCATTTCCCCATCCGCCTAGCTGTAGTCGTACACCATACAATCGAGTTTCTCCTTTCATAAATTGTGCTCTCGTATTGATACTTTTTGTCGTTAAATATTGAGGTATCATAGCAGTTTTTCTGGCATACCCCAAGCCGGATTCCGGTGACACTTACAAAATTTGTCGCGCGGGTCCAAAATCAGCATGTTGTTTCTAGAACCTCGGTCATTTATGATGCCCTCTGTTTAGTCAAATCATGATAGAACTTGAGAATTGGGTCAATACGGACCCAAGAAAAGGTCTGCCCGGCGGTAAACCAATCAAGATACCACTTACCTTACATAATCATATGGGAAATACGCTACGTTAGCGACAATATGGTGACCGACTGTCTGGGAGTGAATATCTGGTGGGAGGGTAGTTTTGCTTACGCGAACACCATGAGCAGAGTGCCTGTCCAACATGACCATTAGAGAAGTTGAACCTAGGCGCCAATAGCAATAATGCCGTAGTATAAACAAAGAATAATATCAATATAGACATTCGGGATACCCCAAGATACCGGGGTAGTCACGTGAGAAATCAGAAATAATAGCCTCCGCCACAATCCCCCGCGGCCGGTCAGCAGATCCGCTGGGATAAAAAAATTTCCCTAGAACCCTCCGTTGACATCTCTAATCGTGCTAAAGTGGTGGCATCGGGAGCAGGATTCTTAAAAAGGAGGATTTTGCCTTCGTCACTCACGCTTGGCCCCCCCAGGAGCCTCTCCAACCCCCATTCCCGCTAGACAGGAGCAGGTACGTCCCGGTGTGGAGTTCGTGGATTTGATCAGTTGATACTGTTGCTCGCTTGAATTCCGTGTACGCCGACTCAATTTCCCTGTGCCGGCCCCGTAACGTTCTGCAAAGGCTTCGGAAAATCCCTTGATGGCGAACTTTTGCAGCGGGTAAGACTCTGTGTAACGGAACAGGATTGAGACAATTGGGTAATGCAGCCGCTGTGTGGGAGCCTAGAGACTAGGAGGGACAGTGGTGCTAGGGGAACGGATTTTGGAAAGTCTAGCGCTCTCGTAACACTCTCGATACCCCTGCTCGAGTACATCCCACGTGTTTTTTCTCCGACCCTTTGCCGAATATTATTCGTAGGGTGGGCAAACTACCAAAAAAAAGCATCTTATAGCAATGCGCTAGTAGCGCCCAGGCTTATTTTCGCCGTCGATGATTCGCCGTGGCTCTCAAAAGC